TCTCCCGCCGGCGGCCTACACCCTCCGGTCAGCCAACTGTCAGACGGCCTGGCAGCGCTGCGAGCCAAGCCAGCCATCCGCCGCTGCCTGCAGATCACAAACAAGCTATTGCTGCTGCCGCCCAGAGTACACCCGGCTCTATGGGTCCGCCACTCGCTCCAGCTTCTGCGTATAGGACGAACGTGAGGCCACGGACCCCCAACGACCACGCGTCGCAGCACTCCAAGGACGCGAGCACTCGAGTGCGGGGTCGTCGTGAAAGCCAAACCTCCCGAAGGTCTTCGTTGTCGTCCTTTGCTTCTGAGCTGGATGAGAGGTTCAACATCCGCTCGGATGGAATGCCCCACGGTATCAGTGCCGACACGGATCCACGCATGATCCAGGCGATAACTCAGACAATGATTGGAGAATACCTGTGGAAATACACCCGCAAAGCTGTCTCGGGCGAGATGTCCAACACTCGCCATCGTCGGTACTTCTGGGTGCACCCGTACACTCGCACGTTGTATTGGAGTGACCATGACCCGCAACTTGCCGGCAAGACCGAGCTCAAGGCCAAGAGCGTTCCCATCGAGGCTGTCCGGGTGATCACGGATGACAACCCTTACCCTCCAGGGCTCCATCGCAAGAGTCTGGAGGTGATCAGCCCTGGCCGCAGAATCCGATTCACGGCGACGACAAGTCAGAGACACGAAACGTGGTTCAACGCGCTGTCGTATTTGCTGCTCAGGACCAACGGCGACGAGTCGGATGATCACGAGCTCACGGCCGAAGACGTTGATGAGTTCAACCCCACGTACCGGAGCAACTCTCGCCAGACCACCCAGCGACATTCACTGTCGTCGTATAACAGCAGGACAACGAATACGTCCAAGAATCGTGCGGCTTCGACATTGTCGGTACGACCGGCGGCGACTCCGGGGCGCGTCTCCCCGTCTCCGAATGCGCAGCAGAATTCGACTCTGCGTGCGTCGGAGCAGGCTCGACAGAGTTCGACGTCCCGACTGAGCAGCGTCCTGACGGCGACGATCCGAGGGTCGTTCTCCAGCCTGAGAGGCCGGCATACTCCGGTGCAGACGGACAGCATTTACGATGCGAGTGTAGTGGACCATGACAGTGCTGAGGACCTGAGGCAAGTGATTGAGCGGCAAGAACGAGAGGCGGATCGCCTGGAAAACGTTCGTGCCTGCTGCGATGGTGAGCGAACTCCCCCGTTCAAATTCTAGTTTCGCTACTGACAAGTCTTAGGTAAACACGATGTTGGCTCATTGTCGAGAACAAGCCGGTACAGCCCCGGGGTCAAGCGGTTTTCGCACCCGCACCCGCACTATTGACACCGGGGCGTCGATCCAAGTCCAACCGCTCTGTGTGGGAAGCATGACACGTTCTCTTTCTTTTCACTGAGGTCACGAATATCTAGATCATTGGGCCAGACTGCATGTCATTTGGCCGACGAGTTTCCTTTGTATATTTGGTCCTAAAGCGGTACTCGAGTCTCCAATTTGTCATGGAGTTGAGTTGTCTTTACGTGCCAGAGATTGCGCGTCCTCAGTCGTCGCTCTTTTTTTCCTTTTTTCCCATCTCTCTATATGTTATTAATATCTCTCACTCATTTTGTTCATTGTCAGGGCTCCTGAGATTGCCTGTACGGGTCTGAACCACCTGTTGGGAAACGGTGTCTTGTCTCCACTCCTCAGTTGGAGTCTGGTCTGTTGTCTCTCATTCCTATGTCGAGGCGAATTTCATTTCTTTTTTTTCTTCTCTTTTGTTGACAATCTGGTCCATCTGTGGGTCTTTACTTGGACACGGCCGTTCCTTAACCGTTTCCGTCTAATGGTTTTAATCTGCCGTTGTGATCTTTGTCCGCGACAAGCATCTGCATGTCGTTTCCTTGTGTTGCACTACAGATCTGGGGAATGATAGTATAGTGAGATTGGGAGCCAACATTCTCCAGCAGCTGTCCTGTAGGAGTAGATAAATATTGTCAAGAGACATAAACAGTATAGCTTGCAACTACACTAGGGTAGTATTATATTGAAGTCTGAAAGAAAAATCCTGACCTGTCATCACATCAACTAGCTCGACTGACAGTCGGGTCGTACATGCGTGCATGCATGCACGCATAGGTGATACGATGCCGTTACTGTATGTAGCTAAATTAGGGTAAAGTCTAAAGTCTGTCGAGTACTGATTGGCTGGCTGGTTGGCTGTCTTGCTGAGTACTCCGTCCTCTCGTCCACTCCGTCGCTCATTATCAATCTGCATTCTGCAAGTCAACAAACGAACAGACGATAACTCACTCACTCTGGTGTTGGATTCAATAGGTAGACTGTCTACTTTCTACTGTCTATGTAACGGACAAATTGGTCTATTCAATTATTTTGTTTTTTTTTCGCCTCATTTCCTTCAATTCTTTTCTTTTCTTTTTCCTGTCGATATCTATCTAATGCTCATGTAACGAGAAAAAGAGAATCATGACTTCGGCCACTGCTGCTTCGCCCGCCAACACAAGAGAGTTCCTCCTAGGCTTAATCGAGCCGGCGGTTCTGCTTCCTTGGGCGGCGTATCGTATGTTCTTACCTACTTAGTTACTTACCTACCTACTTACTTTCCTACTGTTATCTTTTCTTTTCTCGGTGATTGATTGTTTGATTATGACTGACCTGACGATCTCGCACAGACTATGCCGTCGTCTGTTTAGAGACTGTCTTCAAACGAGGACAGCTCCTTAAGCCATTGCTGCGCTCGAGAGAGATTCGCGATGAGGCGTTTGGCAGGTTCTGGGTGGATTTTTCTGGTATGGAAGAACCTTATCTTCGTTCGAACGATTGACAGGACAGTCGCTGACAGCGAACGTTAGTCCGAGGAGATGACCAGCAACTGGTTGATATCGACGAGACCCAACTCCAAGGCTCAGCCGCGCTGGTCCCGCCCCTCCTGGCGCGCGCTTCCGGCGTCGTGCTCGACCTCGGCCCTGGCACGGGCACCCAGATGCCTTTCCTCCGCTCGCCCGCTATCCGCGCCATCTACGGCGCTGAGCCCTGCGTGGGCCTGCACGCCCAGCTGCGGCGGCGCGTCCTGGCTGCTGGTCTGGAAGGGAAGTACCACATTGTGCCCAGCGGTGCGGAGAAGGAGGCTCTTCTACCCGCGCTGGACAAGCTGGGTGTGACTGCTGCTTCAGAGGGAATATTCGACACCATCATCTGCGTGCGCGTCCTCTGCTCCGTGCCTGACCCCGCGCGCACCATTGCAGACTTGTACTCCCTCCTAAGGCCAGGCGGACAGATGCTCATCGTCGAGCACGTCGTCAACCAGTGGCGGCCCTGGAAGAGGCGAACGAAGGGCAGCCTCCTAGCACGCCTCATGCAAGCGCTCTACACCGCTCTGGGGTGGAGCTTCTTCATGGGCGACTGCCATCTGGACCGCGACACGACGGGTTACTTGATTCAGGCGGCGGAGAAGGATGGCGGCTGGGCCAGTGTTGACCTCGAGCACAGGTGGGAATGGTCGGCTATGCCGTATGTTTCGGGGGTGTTGGTTAAGAAAACTACCTAGTTGATCTGATTGATTTACTTTGGTGATGATGATGATATGATGATGTGATGGTCCGGTTATATAGACAGTTGAGTTGATTTTTTTTTCCAGATGAATTTGTTAATAAATTCCTCCTCACTGATTGGGAATGAAGATGTAGTATACTGTATGCCAGTCAGTCAGTAGAATACCAAGACAAGCAGGTCAGGACAAGACATGTCAGGCCAGAAATGATTGATTGGATAGGATAATAGGCAGAGCACATTACTAGTCTTATTATTCTCCAGTATTCTATCTGTATCCTGTACTATACTACACTGTATGTGTGTACATTACATTACATACAAGCTCAAACCCGAAAAAAAGGAGTAAACGAAACAAGGATCTAGACAGCAATTTCGTGATATTTCGGTTCATACCATGCCATATCATTATTCTACCATATACAATATTATACAATACCATACAATACCATACAATACCATCGTCACAATCATGATTGTAGTCAACATTCGTCATGCCGGCTTCGGCCGGTCGGGAGGCCACCAGTCAAAGAAATCTAATGCCTCGGATGTCCAGGGTCCTTGTTCTCCGTCGTCATGCGACAATTGCCTCGCTGGTGCTGCTTTCGTGGCCACGGGGCGAGGTTGCTGCTGCTGCTGATTATGACGATTGTTGTCGTGTGTATTTTGCAGTGCGGTTGTGTCGGATAGCGATTTGCGGAATATCTTGGGCTCGGTTCGCTTGACGGCGTCTGCTGGGTTCGCGGCCGGTCGTGTCTCTCGGATCGTGGCAGCTACATCAGAGCTACTTCGAGCGAGTGGTGCTGTCCTCTTTGCTGCTGCTGCTGCTGCTGCATGGGAAACGCTCTCCTGTTGGAGCGGCTGGCCCAATTCCATTTCAGACTCGGGATCGGAAGACCCAAACACTGCTGAATGCGACGGTATGTCATAGAGTGTCTTTTTCTGATCTTGTGATGGTGACTCCTTTGGCGGTCTGCCCGCAGCAGAGGCAGTACCTTTTCCCGCCGCGGTCGTCTCCGTCAACTCGTCAAAGAGAGCAAGAGTCGAGTCCGACACGGAAAATTCGTGGTTGGAATACCCTTCCCCCGGATCGCTCGCATGGCTATCACTTCACATCGTCAATGATGGTGAATTCATATATCCCTCGGAAGATTGGCACTGACTAGGAGCTGACCTGCCGCGTCTGAGACGTCTCTGTCGATTTGGCTTTATTCGAAGCCTTAGGTGGCAGGAGGGCCCGGTACATCAACTTCTGCCGCGGCTTCTCGTTGACTATCCGTAGCGGGTTGAGAGGCGGTTCTGCCTTGTCTGGTCGGGTATCACTGGCGGGTTTGACGGTTGATGGGCGTGTGGTACTCTCAGTCTGCTTCCCAGACTGACCCTGAGCTGGAATCGAGGGCGCCGGTGGGATCCTCGAGGCACTGCCTGCTTTATCTGCATGCCTACCAGGGAATGTCTCCTCACGTATCTCACGACTTGGCGACTTCTCCAGATCGATGACTGGCGGTCGACGTAACGGCTCATTCGTGCTCTTCCGCCGTAGCACCTCCCCCGGCTCTTGTCTCTGTCGTTTCGCAGGCCTGTCGCCCTCTGCATTGTCAGGCTTGTGAGATTGCTGGTGGCGTTGCTCGTATGGCGATTGACGGGTGACCGATCGACCGATTGGCGGTCTCTTGATCCCCAGGACATCGTTCAGCGACTTGAGCGGCGTGCCCTGGGAGCTCATCGAAGCCCGAGATGACGACGGCACGGTAGGCTTCTGCTGGGTCGGGGACTCCTGGCTGGCCTTTCGCTTCTCGAACAAGGCGGAGATGTCGTTCTGGGTCTTCTCCATGCACTCTCCCACCTGGACCAGGACGCCCTTGTCGAGCTCCAGCTCATCGCCGTCCTGGATCTCGCCGCTCTCCCGCCAGTGGTGGTCTCCGATGAAGTTGCCCAGGTCGTCGTAGACCATGACGCGTTTGTTGAACGTGTGGAAGCGGAGGAAGCCATCGTGCCAGCGCTTGGCCTTGCGTCTCAGGTCGTGGCTGAACAGGCATCGGAACTTGAGCACGGGCGCCGTGTTCTGGGTCGGAGGGACCCCGCTGGGGGTGCTGCGAGCGATCGACGAGGATGGGAGAGACATGTCATGCTGTGCTGCCAGAGTAATGAATGATGGAGGATGCTCGCGGGGAGACGTGTCGCGCGTACCGACCGCGCGGCGGCAGTCGGTAGCCAGTTGGCAGTTGCAGAGCGGGACAGCGTGGGACTTGCTGCCGAATTGACTTAATTAGAAACCCAACGGTCCAGCTTCCATGGGTGCGAGTTTCAGGAAATGAATCCCTAGAAGCAGGCCAAGAGTGCTCTGCGACACATGAGATCGACCTGGGCCTGATCTGCCCATCCTCTGCCCACTTCTTTACCCCGCCTGCTTTACAATTAATAGCTGTCAGCCTCAGCCTCTCACCAGGCTGCTGCAAGTCCTGCTGCCCCGTGGCGCGCTCGAGACTCGCGAAACGCGTGGGATTCGTCATCTGTTTCAGCTGTCGTTTCTTCTGCAGTTTCGTACCATTTACGGGAATTTCTTTTCTCTGATCAGGATTGTATTGTACAGCACATCCTTTGACATCTCGACTGTCGCTACCGCACTCCAATGCCAGCTGCTGTTCATCCTGATCGCGACCATGCAGTCCGTGCACAGGCAATTTGGGAAGCTCATGAAGAGGTCCGCCGATGAGAGTCAGGTCTCGGTGCTGCTCAAGGATTTCGACCAAGCGGACAAGCTGCTGACCCGAGTATGAGCTTGCCTGCCCTGTGAGCTATTAATATTGTTTTGTCTTGCACGAGCAGAACAGTTATAGAAGCCAGAAATACTGTGTCTACGTGTTGACGACATGTCTCCTGCAGATTATCGATTCGACTAAAGCCTGGCGCGACGCCTGGTCGGCCATCTTGACGTATCAAAGTCGCCTCGTGCACGAATTCGAATGCCTCTATGCCCCCATCATCGGCTCGTCCGATCCTGCATCCAACCGCCCGGGCGTCCCTACTCCACCGGAAACCCTGGCCAGGACCAACAAGCTCTACGAAGAGTACGAAGACTTACGCAGGGACCTGCTCGACGAGGTCAATGCGGTCGACGACCGCATGATTCGACCTGCCCAGCAGGCGAAGGACCTTCTGGCCCCAATGAAGAAAACCATCAAGAAACGTGAAGATAAAAAGGTCTGTAGCAGTGTGTGGATCAAGCACCCTGCAGCTAACTCGTGTCTAGCTGGACTTTGAGCACTTCCAAGGCCGAGTCGATAATTCTCGGAAGAAGACGAAGCGGTCAGACCGCGACAATGCAGTCCTGGCGAAGGCGGAGATGGATCTGGCCAAAGCGAAAGAGGTATCGACTTCCAATCGAGAAGTATTGCGTACTTGGCTGACTCCCTCCAAAGGAATACAACGCCGCGGATGAACATCTCCGTCAGCACCTGCCACAGCTGATCACGGCCATTTTCTCAATTCTGCCCCATCTTCTGGCCGCCCAGATCGAGATCCAGAACACTCTTCTGGGGCATTACTATACCGTCCTTCACAACTACTGTGAGCAGGAGCACTTCCCGTCCCTGTCGCCTCCGATGGAGCAGGTCATTCAGAGCTGGGAGGCCGATTTCCTCCCAATCCAGCAAGAGGCCGAGAGTCTGGGGTGCATCGCGAACGGGAAGGCCGTTCGACAGCCGATGAGCGGCGGCGATCGTCGAAACGGAGGCCGTACGAATGGACACAGCGCGCGACATCCGAGCAGCCAGCGTCAGGTCTCCGGCTCTTCCCCAGGTCGCAGCCTTCCTCCTCCAGCGCCAGTGCTGGAGACGAAGCCCCGCCTCAGTGGTGACCTTCGAACACCGTCGCCTCACGCCAGTCCACGGATCCCAACACCCATATCGAACGTCTCCGTTGTCTCCGAGTCGTCGTTCTCGTCTGCGTCGTCATCGCTCAACGTTCCGGATTCCTACAGTTCTCCACTACCAGGGGGCTACTCACCCGCCGGTCCTCGCAGCGACCATTTCAGCCGCGAGAGACAGCAAACCTCCTTCACTGCCGCCACAAGCTTGCCTGGTTCAGGCTCAGGTGGCATAACTTCCTCTGACCGTTTAGATTTATTAGAAACAAAGAAGAAAAAGCCCCCACCACCCCCTCCTCCCAGACCCAACCCCGCTGCCCCCCAGGCAATCTATGTGACAGCCCTGTACGACTTCGGCGGCCAGGGACCGGGCGATCTCGCCTTCCGCGAGGGCGATCGGATCCGCGTGCTCAAGAAGACCGACAGCACGGACGACTGGTGGGAAGGCGAGCTGCGTGGTGTCCGGGGCAGTTTTCCGGCGAATTACTGCCAATGAAATAGCTTCTTCTAAAAAGAAAAAAAAAGATGAGATGATGATATTTATGATAAGTTTAATATTTGGTTGTATTGGATGGAAGGAAATGCAAGCATGGTTTATCTTTTACTTGGATGGATATGCAGGTCACTTGTTAGTTAGGGAATGGGATATAATTAATACCAGAGATGGTAAGATAAAAGGACAGTCTAACAAGAGTCAGTCAGTCGTCTTTTGTACGTACCTGAACATCGCAGAACAATAATAATTAATGGTGCGAGATTTAACCCATTAAATTATTTTGCCTTAATCGGACAGTTAATATAAACAGCGCATCTGCACCATGGAACCAGTCACTTATAGGGTGTAAACAGTATGCTCACTCATCACTGGTGCCTGCTTGCCTAGATGATGAGACTCTTGACACCACCTCCTTTCTTTTTCCACTACCCTTTGTCAAACTGCAGACAACGACTATTTCGAACCTTTGTCTCCAAAATTGGCTTGCACATAGCATTCGTGTAGGTTCTTCTTCCTCTACCACCTACTGTCTCTCTCATCAAGCTCTCATCAAGCTGTCCTCGACCTCACTTCTTCGTACTCATGGAGAATACACCACAATCCCCCCAAACGTCGCAGGGAGCTTCGCGAATCTGAGGAGGCCTCAGGCACAATGAGTATCGAGCAATATCTCCTCCGAACCGACCCGTTTCGCGCCACCACTTCATTGAACCCACTTCCCTATCCCTTGATGTCCACTCGTGGTCCAGAGGAGATCAGAAAGAGGGTAGATAATCTCCGGCACAGAATCGATCGCGCCATCCGCAACCTCGGTATCTCCAGAAGATATGGGATCTATGTTGAAGACATTTCCAAGCCTGGATATCCCGGAGGCAATGAACCCGTGTCTACGCTTTGTGTCAATATCGATATCGATATCAATATAGTAGGGATCTCGTTCGGACAGATAAAAGATGTGATTTCCGATATCCTGTCTTCGCATGGTCTCTCGCACCTACCTATCGAGGTGGTAGATCGTGCTAAATGCTTCCACCCTTCTCTGTTCCCGATTCTTCTACGAATCCCACTGTCCCGATCTACCGAATTGTCCGCGACGAGCTGGCTGAGACTCTGTCAAGAACATTAGGAAGTGCTTGGAGACTGATGTGTCTGTTTCTTGTTGGCGTCACAGAGAACGAAGCTAGTCCTAGCATCGTTGTGATGGTCGAGCCAAGAACTCACTGTGACTGGACACGCCTGGAAGGGTCAGTCATGACTCACTTGGCCAGGTCGTTGCCCAAAGATCTTGCCATTAACGTCGAATTTCTCCCTGGGGGCTGCGGTGATATCCCATCTCCCGAAACGGCGACAATGCCGGGCATATCATTTCGAGAGAGGATACCGGAGAATTGTCTCCCAACGATGGGTTGCAGCATTGGCGTGGAAGGAGAAACTGGTGATTGTGGTGGTAGCTCACTGGGAGGCTTCGTCACCCTGACAATTGGCAACAAAATTCATAAAGGTTTCCTCACGACTCATCATGTTGTGCAACCGCCTAGTAATAGTACTAACGCAGAGCCGACGACAATCAGACATGCTGCCCGCTACGGATATTCATACTTTTCTGCGTCTCATCAGCCTAGGCTCGACGTCCATTTCTTCGCGGTCAAAGATGCCATAGCCACGAGAGAAGATTTGGAATCATCAATCGAATCGCTTTATCGAGACATTAAATATTTCCGGACGAAACAGGTGGTAGGCCGGGAAGAAATCATTAATCGCATACACGCGACAATAAATTCTTATCAGAACATGCTCGAGAAAGTCAGAACAATGCCAAAGACCTTGGGACGAGTCCTGGTCTCGTCTGGACGAGCCATCGATGGCGGCAGCAGCAAACATATCCTAGATTGGGCCTTTGTCGAGCTGGACGACGGGCCGCAGAGAGACCAGGTCTTCAACTGCAACATCCTCCCCGAAATTTCTCGGGCGGAAAGCCCAAGTCTTTACACCAGACAAGGGGATTACGGTCTTGCAGGCTTGCCAGCCATGTCATTCGGTGCCATCACTCCTGGAGTGGTACTTTAAGAGTGGAAGGACAACTGACATTACCGCCGGGTTGTGTAACGGCGTCGAGGCGTACTGCAACTGGAGCGACGCAGACGACCACTGCCAGTACGACATAAAAAACGGCAACAAAATCCAAATGCCGCACGGATCTACTATTACAGAGGAATTCGTGATCCTCAGTAAGAGAAAAACAGGCGTCGCCGTTAATCACGCTCGACAAGCGACTTTCTGCAGCAGTCCGGGGGACTCAGGATCATTTATCATCAACAGATTAGGGGAAGTCTGTGGACTTTTGTACGGCGAAGTCCCCGGCTTGTGTGGTCCGGACAACGCCGATCCTCGAACCGGAAGACTTCATGTTGGCGCCGGACTTGTTTCGTGCATGACGCATGTACTACCTTCTCTCGAGGAGAAGACGACATGTTTGGATCAACTCGGGAGACGGATTCATGGGCCTGCTGTCCTGGAGTTGGCGAAGTGACTGTAGATAATAGATAAAGATTAGATAGAACGCCAGAAATTCAGATTTCAGACTCGCTCATACATATCTTGTAATACATACAATATTGGCTGTTTTTCAGAAGTTTAGGTAGGTACAGTACTTCTGCATCTTGGAAAAGACGGCGCTTCATTGATTAGAACTAGGCAGAACTAGAATACAGATGATGAAGAGAATAACATATTTCTACGCTAAAAAGATTGACTTCAAACTCATCGCTATCTTTACCTAGCATCTAAAATTCAGCAGGTTTATGCAAGTCTAATAAACGGCAATGACCTTATGAATGTGAAAGAGTGTGAAGACGAGGAAGAATATATTTTAAAGAAGGATCATACAGCTCTCTAGAGGAATGGAAAGATGAGGAAATGTTGCCATTGAAGATAAAACATACAAGGGGTGTCGACTAAAGTTGCACTGCGTGACAGTGGAAGCGCAGAATACCCGTTCCAGTCATATACATAGCACCAATAGACTATAACTATAGAAAGACAGCCCCGCTGTCTTCCGATTCTCCCCTCTGCCCCCGTCGGCTGCTCAAAAAGAGTTCCACCATCCGTTTGCTGTCAATAGTCGAGTGAATCCCCTGGAGCTGCTTGTGCATTTCGCTCTCTGGATCGTGAGTGCCCCCCGGATTTCTCGTGTTCTCGTTGGTAAACCTGCCGTAGTCATGTACCCCTCGAATTGAGCGAAACTGCACCGCTTTTGCGTCGTTCCTGTCCACAATCGGTCTGATTGTGCTTCGAGTCACAGAGCTGCGTTGCAACCTCGCCTCCCTGGTTGCTCTGAGACTCCTTCTGGGAGTAGGAGACTCTGGGGTTTCAATAGACTCGTTGGACTTTGCAAAAGAGAACCGATCTGGATTGCTAGTAAACTTGGACGAAGGGTGATGGATGCCGCCGCTCTCTTGGTACGGACAGAGCAATAAGCTGTTACTAGGAGAGACCCGTGCTGGTGCCATGACAGGTGCATTGGTTTGTCGACTGAGCGGCCGAGAGTAGTTACTTTGCGCAGGGATCTTCAACTCCATCAACGGACTCCTGTCGGAGACATTCCGGGAAGTATTGCTCTCTTTAGCCCGAGGAGGTGAAGCTCGTTTTTCGTTTCCGCTGGCTGAACGTGGAGGATTGTCTGCTGCACCTGCCTGCTGAGCTTCGCCATCAATTTGTGTTTCCTCCCTGTAGTGATCCCTTGACAAAGGCCCTTTGGACAGTTTGGAGGATTCAAACTCGTCAATCTTGTTTATTTGTGAGTTCATCCAGCTTTTCCATTCAGTACTAGGTCTAATCCGAGTCTCTGCAGTCAGAGAACTGGCTTTCTTCGGAGAGGTATACGTTGTTCCATGACTGGTAAAGATGGTAGCCATCCCCGGCTGCGCAGGTTCAAAGGCGTCGGGATCGAGTCGCAGATTTTCCTGGCTGGGTATATGGCCGCTCGGGGTCCTCGAGTACACACTTGGGGAATCCGATGTGCTTCCCGAGTTGGCTGTCTTGGACACGATAACACTTCCTGTCTCGTCTTCAGAATGGCCTTCACTTTCGCGGATTGAGCTCATAGCCAATCTGTACGGACTCGGAGTTTTTGGCTTGGCATATGAAGTCGATGGGAAGAACGTGGATTCTGGTTCTCGTAAGGATATCTTTCGGCGGCCCGATGGGCTCTGACCACACTGCGCGACCTGCTGAGGAGAGAGACTGCAATTGTTACCCGGATAGTCGAAACGCAGAGGGGATCGACTTTGGACACCTTGAAGTTGCAACTCAGTGCCAAAGGAAGTTCGTGCGGTTTTCATAGATAGGTCACTTCCTGTGTGGCGGATGCTGCAGTTGCTATACTGAGAACAAACCGACGACGCCCGTTCAGGGACAGGGAGACGTTCTTTGACAGTGCCCGCGGAAACTACTTTCTCGCCGTCTTTTGCTGCAGCCTGGTTGATTCGCTTCATGAGCGCCGAGTACACTCTTTGAGATTCAATTGATCTCCCAACATGATGTACAGTCGGCGTCCGTTTGAGACACTCTGCAGGCCCAGCTGTTGTTCCACTGAGATTGTCGTTG